GGGTTTACGCCCTTGGAGCAATGAAAGAATGGAACTATCTACCGTTAATTCTTATTTTTTAAAAAGAGATTGAAAAGCTTTGTTGGAGGAACATGTTTATAAAATGAAATGGTTAACTATTGTATTCTTTTTATAAATGTATAACTTTCACATAATAATTGAATTGATATGTATTTTACTCTTGTCATCAGTCATATATTTAGAATATTTTCATTGTATTATGTGTATGTATTTTTAATGATGGACCCCAGGAAGGGTAGCTGGGTGTAAGGTGCAGCTAACGGGGATTTTAAACAATAAACAATATTTCTTGCCTTTCAGAGCATTATTGCCACTTATTTAACTGTAGTGAAAATTGTGAACCTCCAAGTGTAACACTGTGGTGCAACTGACCCCCAAAATAGTATAAATATGAGGATGTGTGCAGCCAATGATTAGTTAGGAACAACCATATTTCCAGACTGAGGAGCAGACTTATGTTCTTTCACAAAGCAAAACTTTAAAATTGTTGGTTGATTTTCAAAACCTGGGAGAGCCCACACGCGACAAAAAAATCAGACATACCAGGTTTGGTATGGACAAAAAACAAAACACTACACACAGATTTGACTCACCAAAATTCAGACATCATGAGAAATCTTGCGAGGCCTCTTGAGATTAAACATAAATTCAGAGTAAATAATGGCAAAAGAGGAAGAAGCAACAGTAATAATTTGTGGGCTATTTTAAATAAGAAAAAACAAAACAAAAACACATCTCTGATGTCCATCGGACTTTCTGCTGAGTCATGTTTTGTTTTCTGTAGTTTGGATTCCCCTCCATGTTTCCTTCACCTCGCTTGTTTGTCACATTCAGCAGGCTGCATTCTTGTTTGTCCTCAGGGAACACCAAGCTGGGATTTCTCCTAAGATTATCTTTAGAGACATCATGATTATCGGGGTGTCCTTAAAATTGTTTAAAGGGCAAAATCTGTCAAAAATCAGCACACTTATATTCTTGTGTGAACCTAGGCGATGCCCTTCATAACATTCAATCAAACACAGCTTGTATTGATACTTTATTTCACCACAGTAAATTCATACATGCTTATAATTTATTTTTGCATACCTTGTTATTTTACTATTCTATCATACAGTATAACAAAAACCTGGTATTGTTTAAATAATAAAAAGTGTATAATTAACACTTTAAATAAACTTCATATGTGTGTATACACTCCTTGCAAACAATTAAATATTGGAAAAATATATAAATATACAAATATATCACTCTAAACCTTGAATGGAATATTTCTTCTATGGTCAATGAAACATCTTTTGATTTCACTTTGCTCCTTTTACCATAAATCATTCAATATGAGAACACTTGTGTTTTAATTCTATTGTGATGTGCATATAGGATTTGGACAAGTCTAGCTTGGATAATAAAAGTTGAAAAACACTTAAAAAATAAATTAATTTGTGTGTAAAGTTCTTTGTGTAAAGCTGCCATTTCAGAGTATTTATTTCAATAGCAGAATTTTGTTTTGTTCACATTGGTTTAGTTCATTCTTCATTTTTTAGAATTAAACAGTGAGACTGTGTCCCCACCCAAAAGCCTGGGATCATTTTTTCCTTCAAGGAGCTCTTAAACTGCAGTACAAGCTCAACCTCCTTTCTACAGATTCCCTCCTCTTCCTCCTTTATCTCCTCTACAGCATAGAAATTGAGCAAACCAGCCGGCTGATCAACATATACGCCTATAACAGAGCATTCAGGTATCCCTTTGATTTCTGTACTTTGACCTTTGTGCCAGGCATGATAGCAGGAACCACTCCACCCGAAACCCCAGGACTCCTCATTCTCGCCAAAGCCACAGGGTCCCTCGCTGTTTCTCCTTCCCGCTCGTTCATACGCAACTCCAACCACAACCCATCCAGAGAACTCCACCTCCCAGTAGCCTCTGAAGCCCAGAATGCCTTCTTTGCAGAGAACCTTTTGAAGAATAGATGAAAATGCAATTATAAGGACATTAGGACATTTTATGAAACTTGATTTATTGTGCTGCCAACGATGAGCAAACAAACAAACAGGTAAATTATTCTACACTCACAACCCACTATAAGTTATGTAACTTTGCATGAGGCACAGTGCTTGATGTATGTATGGTAAAAGGAAGATGTATGTGTAGCTCCTGAAATCGGGGCATTTAGATGTAGTGACTTGCAGTTACTCATGACCCAGATTCATGTGACTGGAATACAAGCTACATAGAATAACAACAGCCATTTTATTCCTTTCTACAAAGCTAATTGATACAGATCTATTGGGAATTTCACCCATCAAGAGCAGGGCCCTCGCAAGTGGGCCCATTACTCTCCCYAAAAGGACACTGAGCTTTAATCAAACCTTTGCGTCCCTGAAGGATGCAAGGTTAGAAATGCTCAGTGTTCTGGTCTCTTCAGGATCCATAAAGGAGTCCCCAAGAATTATTTTCCTTTGACTACTCAGAGCCAGGAAGTGGCCTAAGTATTGCAAAAAAAAGTATCCAATTCAATTCCACATGCACAGACCATTGTCATGGAATCTCATCTCCATTTTGTGGCTATTGGGCAGGTTGTGCCCAGTGAGAACTCCAACCAGTGTACTYRAAGTTTTGCTTGTCAGGGCGATGAGAGCTTTCCCAAACATAATATTTTGGCCGTTTTTCAGTTCTCRTGCCTGTCTACAGTCCATCAGAACCCTCCAGCRGATTCARTGTTGACGTCTAATCCAGGCCCATCGGGGAGTCCTACAGATGTTGATACTTACAAAAGGCTCTGGTCCTTAAAATGGGGTCTGACTGCTAGCTTTTGCAAGGTAGTCAGCTCTCTCATTACCATTAATGCCAGTATGTTATGGTTGAACACACCTGTCTGAGGTTAATTGTTATCAAACCATTCCCCCAGAGTTAAAGATGCTTTCTTTGTTCAAAACATAAATTATCCAATTTGTAGATTTCACATCCATACTTTTGCTGGCAAGTGCTCTCTATAGTTTCTACAGGTACACTGTCAAATGCCCCCTGTATATCCTAAAAGCAGTCAAGCAAAACAACATCAGGTAAGACTGTTTCTGTAGAAAGACATGCCTGAYATGCATGTTCTTTAGGACCTAAAGGTCATAGCATCAAAATACCATCCAACAGAGATCTGCCTCTACGGTTAAATCAGAAGCACTCTCAACCCACGTGATGGGAATTGGCATCACAACCAATGAGTACTGAGGCCRCTATCTTTAGCATAAACAACTCTACACAGTGCAGCCTGCCATTCATAGAGTTAAAAAGTCAGAAATCAGATTAACATCTAACTTGACAGCCATACAAATAAAGATGACACAAAAAGTAAGGAAATGTGTGTTTGATATATAATTTATTTTTTGTAAAATATTGGCAATAAACCTAATATTGTTAGAAAATTAAATTTTAAATTGTGCCACATTTGTAAGGAACATGCATTAATGGGTGAGCAGTAGAGCTGAGTATGTGGGTTGTCCACTTGCAAAATTTGCCAAACCTTCTCTGCCAAACAGCTTATGTTGCTGTTGTTATTGACACTTGTGTTTTAGCTTCCGGTACCACCAGGTGCTGCCAATCAGGTGCCTGGTATAAGATTTATTACCATGAAGCATTGTTTCAATTAAAAAAAAATCTAGTGCTAATCATAGTATGTGTAAACTTATTGTATAGTACTTTTGAGAAGCATGAATTGTGCAACGATTATTGTGTCACTTGTGTCTTACTGTCATTGCAATGCCCCCATTAGCTCTGTGCCTGACTTGATTCAGGTGAACACAAAAAGTACAGATTTTGTACAAATTGTGTGCCTTGTTGATTTTTACCAAGACTTGCAGAATTTGCACGTGATGAATCATACTTCAATAAATGCCAGTTCTATTGTCATCTTGTACCTGTGGAGCATATTCATATCTCTCTGGTCTGTCCAAGACAGGACATGTGACGTCATCAGTCTTCCGGGCCACTTTAGCTCCTCCCTCTGTGATCCACAGCAACTTGTTGGCCGTTCGGTCATCCAAGGACAAAGTAATCCAGTCTAAAAGAACAAGGACAAACATTTACTTGTAGAAAATACATTGCAAAACAATAAAAACAAAAAAGAACTTACGTTTGATGAGATCAGCTCTACATTTGGGTTCTGGGATATTTGGCTCGTAGATTGGAATCTTCTCTAATGAGTAAAATAAACAAATAGATGAGCCTGTTTTGAATAAAACAAAACAGCTACATYATGTTAATTATAACATTTGTGATAAGATGACGTCTTACCTGCGCTTTCAGGTTTGCTTTTCTTTGCTGGAAACAAACACAAAATTATTGTTTTTCTACTAAACCAACAATCGTGTTTTTGACTTAATATTTGACGCAAAGAGTCAGGTGGGTTTCAGAAATTGTTGCAGTGAGTTTCTGATATTAAAACATAAAGTGTATACTTAGAAAACCATCTGCCTCTTTCAGATCATCACATCAGCACTGCATGCTTTCTGGAGCCTGTGGCTGATTCATGCCAGGCAGCTGAAATTACAAAGACACCTCACATGCCTCAGGGTCGGGTTCATTCACACCACAGCTCAGCCTGGAGCTCAGAGCAGATTATCAGAAGAGATGACTGACATTATTTGTTTGTACAAATCAGATAAGCTAAGGAAGTCGATCCAACGCGTGGTGCATTGCAATGAACCCCAACTGGAGAGTTCAGAGAAGTTGTCCAAACCTGATCTTAAACCAGTTCGGTTCTAATTACAACCGGCTGTTTAAAAGTTGACGTTAAGCTGGGACCGCACCTTTGTTCAAGCTGATGAATTTTAGTTTTGGTTTACACTTGCTCCACTTTGGTGTGAAGTGTAAGCATGCAGCATTCTGGTTTATTTTATCGAGAACACAGAGGAAGAGGAGGAATGAGTTGTCAAAACTGGCCCACATAAGCAGTGAGTTATTTATATCAACAGCTTTCATCAACTCCAAAATGTATTACCACATTGAATCATCACAGAACATTACATGTATTTTAGAAAACGTCCCACAAATCAGCATTCATTTTAAGATGATAATACAAATTTTGACATTTAATGTACTTTAAATCCCAAAACAACAATATAAATGTTCATCAACCTTTATGCACAGGTTTATTTGTGCCGTGCAGTATGTACATCACATCTATCAGTTAATAAAAATATCTGTGATGATTGGAGACAGAACAAGACTGCGAGAAGGTTTTGTGCCACCTGTTTGGATTTACTACAGGGTGATGAAAATGTCTTCTTTGTGTGACCTCATTACAACCTGACACCAACCGTTTAACCTTGAWGTGGTCACTGCACCAGTCCCCCCAGCTTTTTAATCTGCTTGTGATGCAACTTGAAGAATATTTTGGAGTATAATTTCTTTAATCATTTCAGTAAATCATGATGATTTTTAATGCCAAAGTGTCTCCAGTTTTCATCAAGTAACATAGCATTGTTTTACAGAATATTTGCCGTTGCCCGTTTTCTAATTAACATCATGTACACGCAGCGTGTTAAATTTATGCCCGAATAGTGTGAAATCATTTTTGGTACAAATGATGTTGACACTTGCAGACTTTTTGCTTCCAGGCAATAAAACATCTTCTAAACGCCTCATAATGTCAGACATGAAATCACAATAAGTAAGTGATCACACTTTCCAAGCAGACATACACTCAAATGACCCATTCCCTCAGGATCTGCCTCGGTAGATAATAAAAAAGAATCCATGAAACCAACTGAGATATCTCATCAAAATGCCTTGAGGTTTCGTGTAAATGCTGCTGCACCCGTATTTGATAATGCAACATTCAAAAAATGGCTATTTTGACTTTTTTTCTGGTGCAACCATTGAAAAAAAAATCAATCAAATTGGATTAAAAGTTAAATTTGTTAGATAATTCCAAGTGGTAAAAAAGTGACACTCACCTTTATCAGACATCCGGGCTTCAGAAATGATTCTGCTGGTGGTGGGCATCTTTACTCAGACTCAGAAGTGAGGCTGAAGTTTTTGTTGATGGTACAATAATTAACCAATAACTCAGAGTRTGGGGAGTTTTCTTTAAGTGGACTATGTGGCTGCTTTGATGCTCCCTTATATACCTTTGTTGCAGGACATGAAGTGAAGGAGGATAGCTGGAGGCGTCGACACGAACATGACGGCGTTTGCCAATAGGAAGAAGGAAGGCCCGAGGTTTGTAACTGGAGCTGTGCGTGAATGCGTTTTACCTTAAAAAGGTTGTACAACACGTCTGTAACCAAGTAAACCCCTACCTCATTCTTCCTACAGTTCTACCAGGGATCTTTTCACACCGCACAGTGGCCGTCTTGATGCACTGATGTTGGTTGGGGTGGTTGGCATACGCTAACRCACACACACTCATCCGTATTCATACATAGACTGACGTACACATTCTGAGCATGCAGCTGCAGATTTAAATCACCGTCGAAGAATTCCTGGTGTCAAACTTAAAGCAGCRTGAAGTCCGACAGGTGCAATTTTAACACCGCAAAAAATGCTTCATTATTACGTAACTGCGATGAATTATGTGGTGTCAAAATTCCTCAGCTTGCAACTATTATTTTTGCACGTATTTAAAATAAAATTGTATTTGTATTCTAGAACCTCATATAAAAATCTTTTTATTCAACAGAAAAAATAAAGAAAAAAACTTTAGCAACAAACAAGTTCTGTTCTTTAATGATTTGAGATGATTACATTAATAATAATTAATACATCAGTTTTTCATTTTCCCTATCTAATCAAACACCCATCTATCTAACCATCTGTCTTGTTTTTAAAAACTACTGAAACATTCAAAAAGAAAAGATCAAAAAAACATTTAAAACCCCAAAATAAAATGACATTTATGATACATTCATGTTGACTTCTGACTGCAATTTAAAGCAACTTTTAAAACATTTTAGTTTTAAAGTTAATGCCAAAAAAAAACATCAAATGCAAATGTTTCTAAGATCACAGATCAAATGCTTAAATTACTACTCAAGCTGTGTGGGATATGTGCAGAGACACAGTTGATTCAACGTTTWGTGCCAATGCTCCGAAAGAAAATGATCTAAGTGTTTTCAAACTGTGGGGCGCACCTCCACTAGGGGATGCCACTGGTTTTGGAGGGGGGCGAGAGGTGAATCAGGGAGCGGGGAAATAAATACGTTCACACTGCAGGTCTTAGATTAGATTTTCTTGCTCAGATTTATATATTTTTTCAGTAGTGCATCATGTTTTCATTGAAACGTGGCCTCCTTCAGACTTCAGCAGTTCAGAGAAAAAAAAAAGTTCAGAGGCGACCCATTGTGCGCAAAGGAAATTGTGCAACGGGCTTTGTGTGAGGAAGTAGCCACACATGCTACATTTACGTATTAGTGTGTGTGCCGAAGTTCTTGTGCAGTCACAAGCGATTAAATTATTATCTGACATGCTTGTTAGGTCCAGTGTTCACATTTAATGTTGCCTCTTGATACTGTAGATTATCCAGCACAGCACTTTGTTTTTGGAGCAGAGCTTCAAGCAGAAGGTAAAATAAACTTAAGAGTATTGATTCCAACACTTAAGTATTGGCATGGTCAATGTTGTTGGACAAAACACACACACACACACACACACACACACACACACACACACACACACACAC